AGCCCCAGGGGGCACCACCACTGCAGAGGGGAGAACTGGGTGTCCCCCCCCCCCGGCTCACCGGCAGCTCGCCTCCCAGCCATGGGAGACATGGGCAGGCTCCACGGGGAAAGAAAAAAAAGATCAGGCTCCTCACAGTGACAGTGACTGAACTCCCTAAATTGAAATGGTGGGTTTTTAATCGTTGCAATTAAAAACCCACCATTTCAATTTAAGCGACTACACCCCCATCACATGTAGAAGTTCCCCAGGTCTCTCTACTTGATGAACTAGTCCATTCCTGTGATTTACCAGTGCCTAGCCCTTAGGTCCTTGTAAGATTTTGGTGAGGAAAGAGCGTCTTTACAGTCTCTACAAGAGAAAGCCACAATGGCATTAGAGTTTATATTTAAAATATATGACATGCTCCAGAGAGTTCCTCCACCACAGCTTGCAAAGCTAAACTTGACATTCACAAGCAGCAGCAACACTGGGCAGTCTCAATTTAAAAGTAACAAATCTTTTGAAGGTCACTTAACATGGACATGCCGTCTGCCCCCCCCCCCCTTCCCCTGACTGAATTCAAAAGACGGAGCTGTCAAAAAAGATGAAGAGAAGCCAATCGGGCTTCAGACCCCTCTGGTCAGGGGCTCAGGAAAGGAGAACTGAACACCTCAGGATTCAGGAAAAAATCTCAACAAGATCCTGCCCCAGCTCTGAAAGAACTAACACCCAATTACAGTGTCACCGTAGCCCCAGGCGTTAGCACAAAGCAGACACCCTGAAGAGGTTTTTCTGGATGCTTCTCCAGTGCACCTCCAAGTTTTCCAATAATTTTGCAGGAAAATGGACTTTTAATAATCTCCATGACAATGAAAAGCTTCTTGGACATAGCAGCACCCAGTGAAATCCCATGCAGCCAACTGCATTCTGCAATCCCAGCCCAGGATGACTGCAAACAAAAGTCTGCTCATCATGGTTTAAAAACAAATACATACATAAATAAATAAATCAAACAGAGCTGATATTGGAGGTCTGGAGTATTTACCTTTGGCATATCCCTAAGGAGTTATATTTATTTTAAAAATCTGATTTTAGGATCAAATAAAGAACTATGGATGTATTTCCCCTTTTGTTTGGATAGGCATAAATCAGAAGTAACCACTAAAGTCAATAAAGTTGCATCAGTATAAGAATCACCATGAGTAAAAGAAAATAAGTCTCTAGGTTTTGAATCATGGCTTTCCTGGCCTTATTCTTATTCCACTAGGAACACAAATCCCCCAGTCTGAATGGCTACAATATACATTAAAAACACTCTACAAATCACTGGCATCACATTTTATCTGGTGTGCTTCTAATGACTCTGGGTTTTTCCTCCCATTTACATTTCATTCTGGGTTCAATCAGGGAGCAGACCTGTTCCTTCATTCATAACCATCACTGGGAATTCAAACACAGTACAGGGCAACTGCATCCCTAGAGACTGAACATGCCACCTCTATGACATTTGAAACCTCTTTTGGCCTGAAGATCAAGTAGTGCAAATCCATTTTTGAATTTGCAAATCTCGAGTCCAGGGAGTAATGCTGAGCCTCAGGCACTATTAAGGTAGTGACTGTGGTTCACTTGAAAATATCATAAATGTGCACATAAAAGCTTTAAAAAATGCGTATACCATAAGTGAATAACGTACAGCACTGAATTCTAGGGAGAGAAGAAAAGTTTAAAACAGAGGTTGCATTGGCATGGGGAATGCTGCTTATAGCAAACCATCATGTGCATAAAAGCATTGCAGACTTGGGCTTTCATGCCTCTGCTAAGGTCTGGAGTGAAGACAAGAGCAAGGGAAAGAGAATGATTCCCGTCCTGGCTAATGCATTCTCTAATAGCAGCCTGAAACGACCACCAGTGACGAAAGTACAACACAATGAGTAAAACCACTCGGCTAAACATGCCATTACAATACATGCACAGTTGTTTTATACACAGACCAGTGGAAGGTTGGTACTCATCACCTAACAACATATGATTAGGCTCACTTCAAAAGTGAAGACAGCCAGGTGATGCAAGGGTTCATGCAAACCAGGCATATGATAAAAAGCTATACGCATGTAAAAACTGGACCAACTTTGCCCTCCTCCAGATGACGTGCTTGAGTAAATGCAGAGTGATATTTTCCCTTGCCACATGTTATGAGATAAAAAGAGGTTATAAAATCTTCCATTTCTTGATTACATGCGACCATAAATGCCAGCCTGTTTTAATTAAAAGGACGGAGCATCAGCATTTAACAAGGTTTATAGGGGCTGCTTAGAAGAGAACGTGTCTTTACCCATCTGTAATATGCTGGATTGTTATAACAACGTACAGCTCGCCACACCACATGTAAAGTGTACATTGCTCAGCAGCGCTGTCTGAGGGCTTCCCAAGCCATTTACAAATTCCTCCCAAATTAAAGTAATGGGCAAGATCTGCAGTGCGCATCTCGGTTACCTAGATACATACTGGTTTTGCTCCATTTATGTGCATGGTGCCATCTTCATTGCCTCTGAGCAATTTTGGCTAAAAAGGATGATTCCTCCAAAGTATAATAGAAGGTTGCCCAGCAAACCAGCTCTAAGCATTTTTAATGTGTCATATACCATCAGTGGTCATGACTCCAAATGTTAGTGGTCCTCATTGAGGTCACTTCCATTATATACTCATCTTTTCAAGGCTCTACTTCATTCATTCAAAATCTGCCTCAAGCTCAAATTTCACACACTACTTTTTTGTGTGTGTGTGATTTAGAGTTTGGAAGCCTCACCAAAGGCATTCAGGAACGTCTGACAGCCAAAAAGGGGGTGCACATCCAGTGGAAGGAGGGGGCTATCACCAAAGAGGATTATACCTCCACAACAAGAGTCTGTGGGGAGGCTGTTAGGAAGGCTAAGGCGGAGAAGGAACTAGGGCTAGCAACAAGGATCAAGGACAACAAAAAGTCCATTTTTAAATACATAGGAAGTAAAAAGGCAGCACCAGGCAACGTGGGGTCCCTGCAAGATATGCTTGGCAATCTGGTGATTGCACCAGATGAAAAAGCAGACCTTTTTAACAAATTCTTTGCCTCCATTTTTTTGAGCAGGAACCAGGACTTCTCCCCCACTGGGATTCAGGACGGACTCAGGAGTGACCCTGTCAGGCCTAAGGTCAGGGAGGACCAAGTTAGGAAACTTCTGGAAGGGGTGGAAGTGTTCAAATCAGCAGATCCAGATGCTCTCCACCCTAGGGTACTGAGGGAATTGGCAGGGGTCATCGTGGGGCCCCTGGCATGGCTTTATGAGCACTCGTGGTGCTCTGGTGTGGTGTCAGAAGATTGGAAGAAGGCCAATGTGGTCCCTATCTTCAAAAAAAGGGAGGAAGGAGGGCCTATAGTTGCCTAGGTCCGGAAGTGTTCAAATCAGCAGATCCAGATGCTCTCCACCCTAGGGTACTGAGGGAATTGGCAGGGGTCATCGTGGGGCCCCTGGCATGGCTTTATGAGCACTCGTGGTGCTCTGGTGTGGTGTCAGAAGATTGGAAGAAGGCCAATGTGGTCCCTATCTTCAAAAAAAGGGAGGAAGGAGGGCCTATAGTTGCCTAGGTCCGTTAGTCTTACTTCAGTCCTGAGGAAGCTCTTTGAAAAAACTATCCAGAAGCACATCTGGGAGGGACCAGCAGTGGGGAGGAAGCTCAAGGGCAACCAACATGGGTTCATTAAGGGCAGGTCCTGTCAGACCAACCTGGTTGCCTTCTATGATCAGGTCACAAAATCATTGAACACAGGTGTCGCAGTGGACATCGTCTTTCTGGACTTCAGGAAGGGCTTCGACACTGTCTCCAACCCCATTCTCATTGAAAAGCTAGGTGACTGTGGCATTGATGCCTACACAGTCAGATGGGTCACAATTGGATAGGGGGTCTCACCCAGAGAGTGGTGGTGGACGGGTCATTTTCAACCTGGAGCGATGTGGGCAGTGGAGCCCCCCAGGGCTCAGTCCTCGGGCCCACACTGTTCAATATCTTCATCAGCGACATGGACGAGGAGGTGAAAAGCAGCCTGTTCAAATTCACTGACAACACCAAGATTTAGGGTGAGGTGGGCACGCTAGAAGAGAGGGCCAGGATACAACTGGACCTGGACAGGTTACAGGGGTGGGCAAATGTGAACAGGATGGGATTCAATACAGACAAGTGCAGAGTACTACTCTTGGGCAGGAAGAACCAGCAGCAAAGCTATAGGCTGGGGAACTCCCTTCTTGAAAACACAGAGGCAGAGAGAGATCTTGGAGTCATTACTGATTCTAAAATGAGCATGGGCCACCAATGTGAGGACGCAGTCAGGAAGGCCAACCGCACCTTGTCATGCATCCACAGATGCATCATTAGCAGATCCAAGGAGGTGATCCTCCTCCTCTATGTGACACTGGCCAGGCTGCCGTTGAAGTACTGCGTCCAGAGCTGGGCACCACACTTCAGGAGGGATGGGGACAGACAGCATTGAGAGGGTCCAGAGGAGAGCCACTCGCATGATCCAGGGACAGCAGGGCAAACCCTACAGGGAGAAGCTATGGGACCTGAACCTGTTCAGCCTTCACAAGAGAAGGCTGAGAGGGGATTTAATGGCCATCTATAAACTTACCAGGGGGGACCAGAGGGGAATGGGTGAGACCCTGTTTCCCTGAGCACCTCCTGGAGTAACAAGGAATAGCAGCTGATTGAGAGTAGGTTCAGGCTAGACATCAGGAGGCGTTACTTCACAGTCAGGGTGGCTAGGATCTGGAACCAGCTTCCAAGGGTAGTGGGGCTGGTTCCTACCTTAGGGGTCTTTAAAAGGAGGCTTGACTACTACCTAGCTGGGGTCATATCAGCTTAACTTAGTGGGGGTCATATTAGCCCAGTATTCATTAGCCCAGGGCAGGGGGTTGGACTTGATGATCTGCTCAGGTTCCCTCCGACCCTACATCTATGGATCGATGAAGGAGTAAAAGATACCAAACCTTTTTATGGTGCAATGTTGTTGTGCTTCTGCTCTTCAGAACTGGCTTTAATTTAAGCAATGGGATTTGGAGTTGCACTCCATGACAGCTCTAGGTATTATTCTAGATATTTGGGAAAAAAAGGGGAAAAAAAAGTCAAAACAAGGAAAAAATTGAAACCCCCAAATTAGCCAATAGACATAGATCAGCATCCCAACCACTATCAGAAACTGACAGACTTACTTATGATCTTGTAACATTTTGGAGCTGGCAGGAGTCAAGCTCCCAAAAATCATGGGATTAAAAAAAAAAAAAAAAAAAAAAACAACACACAACAATATAAGTTTAGTGCTCTCTGGTTTATATTGTTTATGGTGTCCCCAAGGTACACCTCTTCATTCTAACTTTCTTCATTTTCAAACTTTCTGCCAAAAATAAAACCTTTTCATTTACAAGCAAACAGCTGAGATAATCAACTATTCTCAACTCCACTATTCAACGTCAGTCACTTACTAAAATCTCATTTAACAGAATCAGGTGCTTATTAGCACCAAAATCTTAACCTGCCCTATGTGTACAAACTTTTTCCCCCACTAGAATGAAGCCTGCACACAAGCGTGTTTACTGCACAGCTAGCAACTGCTGAGCACACGTGATCACCTCATTCGCATTTTTACTTTGCTCTCTACTTTTGTAACAACTGGCAATCCTATGCTGCATCAAAGTGCTCTGACCAGTGCAACTCTAATAAGGAGCGAACATGGTTTCATAGGATTCACCGACAGCTCCACTGAAGTTAACAGAATCACATGGTTTGCAGATATGTCCCGTGTTGTCAGTCCTTCATCCTAGACTCAAAGATCCTTTTCAGCAGGCTTCTATATTAACACAGTAATTATAGCCTAATGCTTTGAATCCAAGACTAAGCATCACAAACTTGATTTGGTTCCTTAACTGTCACTTGTTTTGAATGAAATACACTCCTATGCAGAGGACCAGAATGGAAGGGAGGGGCCATCACCAGGGAAGACTATACCTCGGTTGCTCGGGGCTGCAGGGGGGAGGTCAGGAAGGCAAAGGCAGAGATGGATCTGGGACTAGCTACCCAGATTAAAGACAACAAGAAGTCCTTTTTTAAATACATAGGGGGCAAAAAGAAGGTACCCAGTAATGTGAGGCCTCTGCAAGACACGCTAGGAAATATGGTTGTCGCACCAGACGACAAGGCTAACCTATTTAATAATTTCTTTGCCTCCATTTCCCTCAACAGGGACCAGATCAGCCCGTCCGCTGGGACCCACTCAGGCCCCGGGGGAGGCGCACCCAGGCCTAGGGTCAGTGAGGATCTAGTAAGGGAACTTCTGGAGGGACTGGACGTATTTAAATCAGCAGGTCCTGACAACCTCCACCCTAGACTGCTGAGGGAATTAGCAGAGGTCATTGCGGGACCCCTGGCACAGCATTACAAGCACTCGTGGTGATCTGGTGTGGTGCCAGAGGACTGGAAAAGGGCCAATGTGGTTCCCATTTTCAAAAAAGGGAGGAAGGAGGACCCAGGGAACTATAGGCCAGTTAGTCTTACCTCGGTCCTGGGTAAGCTTTTTGAAAGAATTATCCTGGCGCATGTCTGCGAGGGGCCAGCAGGGGAGTTTATGCTCAGGGGCAATCAAAACGGGTTCATTAGAGGCAGGTCCTGTCAGACCAACCTGGTGGCCTTCTACGGCCAGGTCACAAAATCCTTAGACTCAGGGGTAGCAGTGGACGTAGTCTTTCTGGACTTTAGGAAGGCCTTCGACACTGTCTCTCACCCCATTCTCATTAAAAAACTAGGGGACTGTGGCATCGACACCTACACAGTCAAATGGGTTGCTAACTGGCTGGAGGGCTGCACCCAGAGAGCGGTCGTGGACAGGTCATTTTCGACCTGGAGGGATGTGGGCAGTGGGGTCCCCCAGGGCTCGGTCCTCGGACCCGCGCTGTTCAACATCTTCATCAGTGACTTGGACGTGGGGGTAAAAAGCACCCTATTCAAATTTGCTGATGACACTAAGATGTGGGGGGATGTGGGCACGCTAGAAGGGAGGAATAGGCTGCAATTGGACCTAGACAGGTTACAGGGGTGGGCGGATGAGAACAGGATGGGTTTCAACACTGACAAGTGCAAGGTGCTGCACCTGGGGAGGAAGAACCAGCAGCATACCTACAGGCTGGGGAACTCCCTTCCTGTCAGTGCAGAGACAGAAAAGGATCTTGGAGTCATTAGTGACGCCAAAATGAACATGGGCCGACAGCATGGGGACGCGGTCAGGAAGCCCAACTGTACCTTGTCATGCATCCGCAGATGCATCTCAAGCGGGTCGAAGGAGGTGATCCTCCCCCTCTATGCGACACTGGTCAGGCCGCAGTTGGAGTACTGCATCCAGTTCTGGGCGCCGCACTTCAGGAGGGATGTGGACAGCACTGAGAAGGTCCAGAGGAGGGCCACCCGCATGATCGGGGGCAGCAGGGCAGGCCCTACAAGGAGAGGCTAAGACCTGAACCTGTTCAGCCTCCACAAGAGAAGGCTGGGGGGCGGGGAATCTAGTGGCCTGTTAGAAACTAGTCAAAGTAGACCAGGAGGCATTGGGGGAGTCCCTGTTCCCCCGAGCACTACCAGGAGTGACTAGAAATAATGGTCACAAGCTGGCAGAGGGTAGATTCAGACTAGATATCAGGAGGCACTACTTCACAGTCAGGGCGGCTAGGATCTGGAACCAACTTCCAAGATAAGTGGTGCTGGCTCCTACCCTGGGGGTCTTTAAGAGGAGGCTGGATGAACACCTTGCTGGGGTCGTTTGACCCCAGTGCTCTTTCCTACCATGGCAGGGGGTCAGACTTGATGATCTGTCAAGGTCTCTTCTGACTCTACCAACTATGAAACTATAAGAACAGCAGCAAGATGGCCAAAATTGTCAAACTGAACCACTAAAAATATGGGCCATTGTGGAATAAACTTGTCAATAGAATAAGTGCTGGTATTTTTCCTGACTGCTGTCAGTTTGAGGTTGCCTTATGTCCTTAGGTTTCAGGGCACAAAACATGTTTACATTTTCTAATATAACTACTGGAGCTGTTACCATTGCCCATATATTTATAAATTAAGTTATAATTTATTCCCTACCATATCCATATCTTGCCCACACATGCACACAGAATTGTGTGAAAAATTACACTATTTGCATATTGACTTGACCCTACACTTTGCTGGAAGGGAGTTCAGTAAAGCTGAGGAAAGGGAGTTTCTGATGCTGGCAGAAGGCTAAGTAGTACATGTTAAAGCAACCTAAGGACCTTCTACTCACTTGTCTTGACAACCAGGACCATTATTCCATAATGCACTCTGTTCCTGCCCATTCTTCCCTTAAATGTCCCTTCCTATTCTTGATAGGCATCATTATGCACAGAGACAGCTTCACTGACTTTACACCAGCTGTGTGCTAACTGTTCCATTGAAAGAGTCATCACCAGCAGCTCCACCAAGCTTCCTTTGGGGCCCCTTTCACCAATTGAGCAATACAAAGGAAGCTGAACATGATGGGAACTGGCCCAATATCTTCAAATTGCTACTTTCTGGGCACTGTATCCCATTCATCCTCCAAAACAAATAGCTTAGGGCCAGATTCTATAGCACCTCCTGGGCATCTACGTGGACATAGGCACCAAAGTGAGATTCTACTCCACCCTGTTCAAGTCCCTGAAAATGCATTAATGCATCTACTTTTGTACCATGCCATCATCTGACCTTTAAGACCAAGTCAGAAAAAAGCAGTGAGGAGAAGGAGGAGGAGGACTTGCCCACCTTCTGTATCAATAGAACTACTGAGACGTGAACAGAATGGAATAGGATCACACCGAGGTCCACTTATATGCATAATAGGTGGAATAGGATCTGGTGTTAATTCTAGTTGCTGTGGTAAGTAATGCACATTTCAAATAATTTGTTTTCCTGCTAACATATTTCTTTAGATAAGTCACAAGGAAGTTCACCCCAGGGAGGTGGTGGGGAGGGGGTTAATGTTAAAGCATGACTAGGCAGGAAATTCAGAGTACTTTCTGGACTACATATCATCATCATCCCTTCCTTTTTTTTTTTTTTTTTTTAAGAGAAAAATCAGGCTTGTAGTTGACATTTAAATTAATTAATGTAATTTAATTGTGACCAGCTCCTTCCTGAGTGAAACGGATAAAAAACCAAGAGTACTGCTGATCTTTCAAAGTCTTTGAACACTATCAGAAGGATGTGGCTATACCCCCACTTCAGAATAAGTTGTAGGGCCATACTGAGAGAACTAAATGGAGCTCACAGTCTTTGGCTGCCTCTGACCCTTTAATTAGAGCAGCAGGGTGGAAGTAAATAAACTCTGACTTCTTCCTTTATGACCTTCGATTTCTGACAGGAACAAGCCACTCCGGAGAAATGTTTTAATGACCAAGTTCTTTACTAGGTGGGGGTGGGTGGGGAAACATTTGATCTTCCATCACCAGTACAGTAGTCTGCCCAGGGACCAGACACTGCTTGCTTAACAGAAACCTGCTAAAATGAAGTAAGGATGAGCTATTAAAGATGAGCTTTATTTTTGCCCATTTCAGCTAAATTGGAAGCAACTCTTGTTCAGCCCAGTCATGCTCTTTAATTGTCATCTCTGCTTGCCCTCTCCAAGTTCACAGAATGTGGTGCAACTTTTTTGGGAGAGCATTGAGGGCACATATATTTGTGTTATTCATAGAGTTGGTAGGGGCCTCCAGGTCACGCAGTTCAAACCCTGCTCAGAGGCAGGATTTACTATTCCAAAAAGCACAGGTAAAGCTCTTATTTGCAATTTGTTGTCACTTTTAATAGCTCTTTCAGGCTTCCCCTGACTTCGGTAGGCACATGCTATTTGTGCCAGCCAAGGATTTGGCCCTTCACTTCAGTACCATGATTCACTAGTTGGACTCAGTCATAAGAAACACTGCAGGAGACAACACAAGTTTAGGTTACACAATACAGATGAAAAATAGTCTCCACTGACTTCATCTGAGCTACATCAATTATACTAGTGAATGTGGCCCTAATTGGATTAGGATTGTATATCCTAATGGGG